AACTAATAACACAAAATAAGAGTTAGGAAATACATATATAGTCCGAGTCTTCAATAAATAGAATAAGTCAATTGTCTTCTCCTTTGATAATATGGTTTGCCTATCTGATCTCATCATGAATATACCTCAATAGCCTTTTATTGTTGGCGTTACCGAACTCCCATCTGGGAGTGTTCCACGAGTTAACTTCGGCCTCTCGTAACTTCTTCGGTCTTGACTTCGCACCTTCTCAAGCTGATAGGTAGGGCAGGATTCATGAGCCACTCACGGGGGAATGCACGACTTGAAATGAAATCGTTACCTCTTTGTGTGAGAAGGAGCCCGTATTCCTACCGCCATAGCCATCGCCATAACGGGTAAGTGGCACGACATTAATTACATCAAAATTGTCGGTTCGTCCAAGAAAACGCCGTGGCTGCCGCGGTGAGTGGTGCGTTAGCGTTAACCGCTAGAGGCGCCCGGTTCTGCCCCCCAAAGATCTGACTCTAGTTTTTTAATCACGATTGAAACTCGAGTTTCAAGTGAACTGCAGTGATGTCTAACGATGCCCTAGATACAAATTTCGTTTGGAAGGAGTAGGCAGTTGTCGTCCTTCCAGTAGCTTTCGTGACCCAGGCCATACTCACATGCGGTCAGGTGCATCCAGGTAGGGTCAGAAAAGGGGTCATGTACATCCGCGAAAATCCTATTGTGTGTATGCCCTTTGAACAATGTGAGTGTCGATTCAGACGTTCGTATTCAGATCAGGCTGTTCAGACATGCGTATTCAGATCAAACTAGCTACTGTACCGACTAAGGGGTTGATCCCATCACTACAATACAGCCCAAGTACAGTGTTGTTTTGAGATCCCACCACTTTTCGACGTTGTTATTGCTTCAATTTCGTCTGGTTGTGTCGTGGCAGTCCACGAAGGGCGCAAACTTAGGGCCTCGCTGCACTACTCATGAAATATGCTTTTTCATGAGCTGCGCATCGCTGCAATTACTCGTGAATTTGGCCTTCCGAAAACACATCAAGAGCTGTCAGACGTTACTCTTGCATTCGTCAAGAGCTGTTGCCGCTGCACTAGTCTTGCCTTATTGCTCGTGAAAATGTGTTTCACAAGCTATCAGGGCACCGTCGGCCGAAGACTTGCTAGAGTGCTCTTGCACGCCTTCCTGCAACCACAATTTTTGCAAGGGTGGTCGATGGTTTCTTGAAAGGGTGCCGGATTTCTAGAGCGAGCCTGGGTCTGGATGGACAAACCAGGCTGCACTGCACTCCAAGATTCACAAGAGCGTGACAAGAGTGCTTCATGAGTGGGACTATCTAGAGTAAGTGAAGCCACGCCAGAACTCTAGGCCATTTCAGGAATCTGACAACTCATGCCGCATTCTTGTTTTTTTTCACGAGTCATGAGTAGTGCAACGAGGCCCTTAGTTACTACAATTCTCGTGTAGACCATGAGGGCTTCACAACCTGGAAAAAGAGGGAGCATTTTTTTATTTTTTTTTCGCTTGTCCGTTTGCAGCATTAGGAATGCCCGAGGACCATAGTGTTGTGTGACATGTCCGTTGGCGGAGTCTGTGAAAACATCCGCCCTCTATAACAACCCATAAAGAACCGCCACGGGTCCAGGAAGACCACTGAAGAAGTCGGCCTCGTGGGATCCGGTTTCTCTTGTTTGCCCCGCCACGGCCGCTGACATCTTCGTAGTGATTTTTCGTGTCTGCATTCACCACTACACTGCCAATGTAGTGGTGAAAAACCACTACGAAGATGTCAGCGACCCTGGCGGGGTGAAAAAGAGAAATTGGATCCCACATAGCCGAGTTTTCTGGTGGTCTTCCTGGACCCAACTACTCTTTATGGCCGCCAGTTCAAGGCGGACGTTTTTGTGGCACGGGTTGCCCCAGTTTCATGGACCTCCGACATTCCAACCTCTACAAACGAGAAGGGGAAAAAATAATAAAAAAAATTGTTCTCCCCCTTTTTTTTTTTCTTTTTTTTTTGCAAAAGGGGCCCTGAGGGCCTCATATCAATGCAGCTCCCTCTTTTTCGTTGCCGTGAAGCCCTCACAGTCTATGCGAAAGTTGTATAGTTAAAAAAAAAAAAAA